TCTTAACTTTGAAAATTCATTCTACGAACTCCCCGATTGTGTTCCACCAATCCAAATCAATTCTTCCAAGATCAAATTGTTATTCGTAGAACCGGCACACACAGACATGATCATCGAACCACAGAACCAAACAATTCCGTTGGCTGGAGACGATGTCAATCAATCTCAAATACCGCGTTTTTCCGGACTTATTCCTTTTCTTGATGGGAACACACAACCACCTCCCAATTTCGATGATAAAGTGATGCAACCCCCTCAGCCAATACCTTTAGTACAACAAATCCAACAACCTGTTCAACAACTTATTCAACAGCCCATCCAACAACCCGTTCAACAAAGTGACATCCCATTAAATCCAAATTTTAGTACAGACATCGTCAATTCATTACATATGAAGAAATTGGACAAAGAGAAAAAGCCCGAGAAGATGGGCAAAGACCGAGTTGTGAACGTTATTAAATATCCTTTGTCACCGATGAAACACACAAAAATACCAAAGGCCGCTGGAAGTCCTTCGACGTTGTCTAAAATGGTCAACGTATCACCGAAATACTCGCCAAAGAATTCTCCACGCAACTCACCAACACGAATGGATAAACCAAAACTCGTTGACAACACGAAGATGCAAATTAGCGCTCAAGAATTGAGCGAGATGAAGACGGCACATAAGACTACACCAATGCCACAAGCAAGTTCAAAACATTTGTTTGGGAATCATTTACGAGAATTCCAACAAAATCGGCCACAACAACAATTGTCGATTCACCCTGTATCAACGGCACAACAAAATTCGCAAGGTCAAGGCGATGGGAAGCCGACTGGGTATCCGATCTCACCGTTCAACTCGAGTGACGAAGGGTTACGCGAGCGCACTCGAAAGGCGAAAATAGTGCAACAAATGAGTTGGGCGCGAGATGAAAAGAAGCTTGAGGAAATCATTAAAGAGAATGAGAAGATCAATCCCGCGGAGATCTTTGGGACACGACCGATTATAGTGAGGGAAGGGAGTGTCTCGAATTTTGTCGGGAAGGACGCGGTGAATGCAAAGAAGTTTTTGCAACGCAACCGCTCGATGGTGTGGGGATAAATTGTAGTTCAACATTTCTTATTCACGTGTCGATGTGATTGATCGTTTTTTATAATCCGGTTTGAGGTGAGAACGAGTGACGCGAACATGTGGGAACAAATCAATTGAAAGTAGTTTATTGACCGAAGCGTGGATGTGGGACTAAGGCTTCATCAGTTCTCTCCCAATTCTTTTTGTGAGATAAATACCAGTCGACTGTGAGTTTTAATCCCTCTTCGAACCCAACAGTAGGAGCCCATCCTAATGCTTTCAATTTAGATATGTCAAGGGTATATCGTTGATCGTTAAAACAACGATTTTCGACATGATAAATGCGGCCTTCTTGATCGGCTTTTGGAACAGCAAAGATGTTGAGTAAGTGTTGAGCGACTTCTAAGTTTGAGATCTCACGATCGGTGCCGATGTTGTAAGTCTCGCCTATCACGCCCTCTCTGAGTATTAAATCGAATGCGGCAACGACATCGGAGATGAAGATGAAACTTCTTTTCTCTTCACCACTCCCATGAATTGAGCAGTTCAGTCCTCGGTCCAATAAGGTGATGAATTTGGGAATCAACTTCTCTGGAAATTGGTGAGGGCCATACACGTTATTACCTCGAGTAATTATAAGAGGAAGACCAAATGATTGATAATAGGCCTTTGCGATGAACTCGGCGCCTGCTTTAGTTGCGGAATATGGATTTGTCGGGTTGAGTAAAGAGTTTTCAGTTGCTGCGTTACCAATGACTTGCCCATAAACTTCATCCGTTGAGACGTGAATGAAACGCTTGACTTTGGAATTCTTTGCGACTTCACAGAGGACATGTGTGCCGTAAATGTTGTTGTGTGTGAATTGGAACGAATTGCCAAAGGAGTTGTCGACATGTGTCTGTGCTGCGAAGTGAAGGACCGTGTCAACGTGTTCCATATCAAATATCTTCTGCATGGTATGTGGATCGGTGATATCAGCAATATAGAATTTGTAGTTGGGAGCATTCTCAATCTCTTCTAAGTTTTTCAACGAAGAGCAGTAGTCTAATTTGTCAACATTGACAATTTGATACTGCGGATATTTCGTTACAAAGTGGATGACAACATGCGACGCAATAAAACCCGCACCTCCTGTGATTAATATTACGTGTGGGGTATAAGTTGTTGACATTATATCTAATTTAAAAGTTCTCAATGTAATTCTATATTTAATTTTTCAATACATTATTAATGGTTTGTTAATACTATATTTGATAGTATAGTGATGAGTTTGTGGATTTATACAAATTAGAAATATCATTCATTTCTTACTATTTCTAATAATAAAAACTACTATTTATAGTTAATCTAACTCTTCGTGTAATTTTTTTTTAAAAGTATTTTTAAATTTACAAATCCATTTTGGAAATTAATGTCGGATTGTTTTTAGCTTTTAAATAATAAAAATTATTATTTAAAGATAAAAGATATTTATAGAATTTTATTATAAAGTCTGTTTTCTATTTAGCGATATTCTAAAAATATAACAAAGAAAAGAACTAGACCGAAAATATTAAACCATTATTTACTATACTCAATATCGCTAATTAAAAACCATTAACTATTAATAAAATTGTCATTAATTAAAACTAATGATAAACAAATCCTGAGCATTGACTTTTTTCCAAATCACTTGTTGTCGTTTTCAATTTGATTCAAATGATAATTTGACGCGTCTGCTCTATCAAATATGACATTTTATTCATTTTGAATAATTTAGTTGACATAGTTTATTTCTTCGTATTCACATTTCAACGCCAACTTATAATTCGTTTTGGCTTTATAAATTTTTCAGTTGTTTAGTCATTTTGTTTTTTGTTATTTTTAACACACTTTTTTAAAAAAAGAACAAAAAAATAAAATACAAACCATTTTTTTGAAAAACAACTTTATTTTTATTATAAATTATAATACTGTTATTATAAATAATAGTAAAAACCCAATATCGTTAAATAGAAAACAGACTTTAGTTTAATGTATTTATTGCTTAAATTAAATCAATCGTCAAATATTAAAAAATACAATTTTACTGAATAAAAAATAAATAATTTTATATAAAATACTAGTAACAATCATTTGAGAAACTAGATGAAGTAATTAAAATTTAAAACCAAAAAAATAGGAAATGTTCTGTTGTTTACAACAAGGTGCAAAATTTCGTTTTTTTGGCCTGTTGCGTTTGGTTCAAGACTGTGTGTAAAGCTTCATCAAATACTTGGTTAAGACCCGAACGTGTCAAAGCAGAACATTCCATATAACACGATGCTTTGATCTCTTTGGCAAGCCTTTCGCCATCTTCTGTTGTTAATGGTTTTTGATTGTCTTCGGCCAATTTACGAAGAACAGCTTCATCGTTTCGGCAATCGGTTTTCGTTCCGACAAGCATGACGCGGCATTTTGGTTCATAATGACGAATCTCGGGAAGCCACTTTTTATCAATTTTTGAGATGCTATAAATTATAATTCGAGATACCACGTTGAATGGTTTAAAAATGAGACAATCACGTTTGTGTTTGGGAGGAACGAGAGTATGTTTAAGCGGTAAAATTGAGCGTAATATTGTAAATATAAGCAACAAACCTTTGCTGTGATATTGTTAAAGGACGTTCTCGATATTACCGAAAAACAGAGAAGGAAAAGGTCTGTGTTTGGGTAGGACAATGGCCTGAGCTGCTCGTAGTCTTCTTGCCCGGCCGTATCCCACAACCCCAAGTTTATCGCCTTGCCATCAACCGTCATTGGTGCTATGTAATTGTCAAACACTGTTGGAACGTAGTCCTTTGGAAATTCGTTTGTGGTATAGCAAATCAAAAGGCATGTTTTTCCGACAGCACCGTCGCCTACTACTACCAATTTTACAGTGGTCGCGTCTGGATTGTTTGGCTGAGCCATGTTTTCGCTGGATAAAATTTTAAAGTTCTTCTTTTTAAGTTGGAAGTTGACTTAGAAACGGTAAAATTTTTTTCATTCGTTTTATTTGAAAATTTTTTACGTTGATCTTTTTTATTTTTTTGTAGTTCTTATTATGTTCAAGATTTCTTTTAACTTTATTAAACTTTACCACAATAATAAAAAAATTATACTTTTACAATTGATTTTTAAATACAATAATAGTAATAGATATTTATTTAAATAGTTTATTTGAGAAAGTGAAAGAACAATCAATTGAAGTCTTATATATTGTTATAAAAGCACACAGTTATATGGAATATAACATCCTCTTCACAACACAAAAAACACAAAAACAAAAAAAGTGGCAAGACGGCTATGCGAAGTACATTCCAGCAACACACAAGTTTGAAGTGTATGACATCCAAAACACAAAACATGTTTATTTGACATCGAAAATAGTAAAGACCCCACCTAACATTGGAGACCTCATTGAATTAGAAAAATATATAGTCGATATCGACTCAGTCGCATCTGGAGAACTCCCAAAACAAGTCGAACAAACAACACAACAAACTAAATTGACGCAACTAACAAAACCAAGAAAACTCCACCACACGATTAAACCGCTCCTCACGATGACCCCACAGAAAAGTCTTTTGAAAGATCCTCTTATTAAAAAGACGGAAGAAAAGCCTAAAAACACTGTTCATTCTCTTCTCACCATTTTTACACAACCACAACAAATTCCTCAACAGAAAAGCAATGAAATTCACGACATCAAAAAAGAGCGAAACCCTCAAAGTGTTAATCAAGACGATACTAAGAAACAACGTTTGAGTCATTCAAATTGCATTTCAAAACAAATCGCCGAGTCAAAAGGAAATGCAAAAGTCGAAAAGAATGAACACACTAGTATAATGGAAACTCTATCGAAATTAAAAAGTGAAATCAATTGCGATACAGCTCAACCTACTACAAAAAAAGTCCTTTCAAATGGGTTGGTGAAACGCACACGACTTCTTGGAAATGCTTTTAAAGTGCCAAAGGCTATGCAAATGCTGACATTTCCAATGAACTTAACAGACAGCGAGAGAGTTCTTGAGAAGTTTCGTAACTTCAAAGACACTTGTCTTGCCCGATACACTTCTTTAGATAAGTACGTGACTGATATGAACAATATCGTAGTCAACGAAATGAATTTTCACTTCGCGGAATTGGCTCATCAATTTTACACGTTAGTTGATACACAAGCAATAGGACTTGGTGCTTCTGGTCGTCTCAAAATATGTGAGCACGGTGTGGCCAAATGTCAAATTTGTCGCAAAGATGGGCCAAATAAGGGCAAGCCATTCTACACATGTCCAGAACGGAAGTGTAAAGCGTTTAAATGGGACGACACCAAACTTGACACTTTAAAAATGCGTTTTGATATGCCACTTTCTCTTGACACATCAATATCATTAACAGACTTAAATTTCCAAGCATTCTATACCTCTGGTATTATAGCATTTCCAGACGCAGAAGTGTTCGTTTCAAATAAAATTGTTCTTCCCAAAGAAGAAGGTGATGATGAGACAACCAAAACAACTTGGTACTTAAAAATTAATAGCTTTAGTAAAACTAAGTTTGTTATTAATATTAGTATTTATAAATTTAATAAGAACAATTATTAATGATATAATTATTATTAATTAAACTATAATTATCAACTCAAATGAATTTAGAGTAACATATTAGAGGACTTAAGAAAGACGATTTGTGGGTTGTCTTACCACAGGAATACCCTTATAAGTTGTCAAGTCGATTTTATGTAGTGGCCGCATTATATCACTCGCCTACATCGGACGGTTTGATGGCAGTCGACGTCGTGACTCCATTCCCTCCCAACTTTAAACGCATGAAATGTGCAGTTTTGAACGCGTCGTGTTCTTCAACTGAATTATTAATGTTACAGACATTGACGCAACTGTCCATTACCCCACCAACCCTGATCACCCCGTTATTGAATTACTTAATGTTTCACACCTTCACCAAAACAGAGAATGTAATCATGCCTGACATCTCTCTTATTGATCAGTATTCTTTAAATACCCCTCAAAGAAGTGTCATTCAAAATGTAGTGTTATCTTTGTTAGGTGCATTTCCTCCGCTAACACTCGTTCATGGTGTTTTTGGTGCTGGTAAATCGCATTTACTCTCAGTTCTGTGCATTTTGCTTTCGTCGTTGAATTACAGAGTTTTGGTGTGTGCTTCCACCAATGTAGCAGTCGACCGAGTACTCGAAAGTTTGTTATCCAAAGGGTTTACCTCTTTTTCTCGTGTTGGTTCACTGAAGAAGATCAGTCGGCTGATTCTTCCTCACACTTTATCGGAGACAAATGGGCTTTCTGAGCTCCGCACAATTAAAAAGGATGTGACACTGACACACGCCGAGCGCGAAATAGTTGAGAAAGAAATCAAAGAAAGGAAGTCTGGGATGATCAAACGTCGTAATGAAGAGATCAAAAAGTCTTTAATAGTTGGTGTAACGTGTGCGTCTTCCACAAACGAGTTATTAGGAGACCAATATGACGTTGTTTTATTAGATGAAGCGACTCAAACGATTGAACCCCTTATCTTGATCCCACTCCTTCGGTTCACCCCCAAAGTACTTGTTTGTGTTGGTGATCCAATGCAACTCGATCCAGTTCTTCAAATTGAAAATCGGTGTGCTACTATCTTTCAGCGAGTGTTATCCATAGAGACTCCATTGATGTTAAATGTGCAGTACCGATGTTCTCCACCAATTAGTGGAATCGTCAATCGGATGTATTACCACGGACTTCTTGTTGATGGGGATAACGTTTTGGAGCGAAAGAGTTTGATAGAAGGAGGAAGTGAAGTCATCATCTTTTATCATGAAGTTGATGATGAGAAGATGTCCAAAGGGAGTTATTCCTCTTCTTATGAACGTGTTGTGATGAAAGAAATAGTAAATGAGATCAAAGGAACAGTCGATATGAAGAACGTCGGTGTGATGGCGTTTTATAAAGAACAATGCGAGTTGTTAGCAACAGACTTAAAGAAAGAAGATGTGACTGTAGCAACAATAGACGCATTCCAAGGAGCAGAAAAAGACGTCGTTATGATTTCCTTTGTAAGAAACAAAGAGTCTTCGTTTCTAGAAAACGCAAAGCGACTGAATGTGGCAATCACAAGAGCTCGAAACAACTTAATTCTCGTCATGCACCACAACATTTTGAAAAATGATTTCATGCAAAGTCTCATTCGTGGAGTTAAAGTTTCTTTTGTTGACTGCGAGATATTTTTACAGATGAAGAAATTGATGTTCGAGTCGTGAAACACACACTACTTTTTGTATTGAGTATTTGAGTTCATTTTTTATTAACTGAATTATAATTTAACTTTTAATAATCGAAGAGTGAATTTTAAATTTTTTCTTTAACTACAATATATTAGTATTATTAATTATAATTCTGATAATTCTAGTTATTAATATAATTATAATTAAATTATTTGGAAAGTATACAGTATTGCAGACAACGTCACGAAGCCTACAAAGGAAATAGCCCCGAAGAAAATGGCTATGTGTACTCTTCTCCGAAGAGTCTTGGCATTGTTTTGGTAATGAAGCTCAGAATGATCGATGAGAGAAAGTCTTTCACTCTCAGACTCATCATTTGAGAGAACGGGTGATGGGATAAATATTGGCGTAAAGAGCGGCGACTTGTTCATGGAATTAACAAGTTTGCAAGGGTTTTTCAGTCCACAATTCGTCAATTTTGGATTAAAAGTCGAGTGTTACTTTTGAAAATGGTTCTCCTTATTCATCAAGTGAATGCGTGAATCTTTACTCAAATAGTTTAAGTTTTAATTTCTTTGTAATTAATTTATAACACTTGTATGGTTGAGTTATACCAAACGAACATTTTTAATGAAGTTTTATGAATGGACTTTTTGCAACAAAAAGCACTTGTAATTTGAGTAATTTAAACAATACAAACTGGATTGGGTCGGGGATTTTACTAAAAAAAAAGGCAATAGTTAGGGCATTTTCCCGAACTCTTACAAAACAGTGTTGGGTCAATTCTTGTGATGATTTAATTTGATTGACAAAATTGGTTGTTTTTACTATTGGTTTACAAACCCCTTTTTATTAAGATTACAGTTGGTCCATTAAACCTTAGCCCAGGAAATTAACCTTAGCCCAAAGAAAAACTAATTTATTTCTATTGTTATATTAAAATAATAAACTATACCGATATATAAGTCAATTTTCGAAAATATTTGTTTTTTTAGTAAAAACCCGTGTTTTTACAGAAAAATATAGGAATTTCTTTGGGCTAACGTACAT